CTTAGCATCTGTGAGGTGTATTCTTCTGAGGAAAACAGGGAAAAAAATACTATGTACCACACGTAAAGATTTCTATCATGGAGACTAGTGAAAAAAACCAAGCAAAACATTTTACACATAGATGTAAAGGAAGCTGGGTTACAAACAACGAACTCTGCGAGGCATAAGCATTTCTAATCTGAATTAACACTTCTTCACATGGTTGTTTACTGGTGGGAAGGACAATGGTTTTTTTCCCCCCCTACTATTCTTAGGTTCTGTGTTTGTTTCTCTATTGTAAATCTTGCACGTACATAATTGTACATTGCAGCACATATTAATTCCATTGTCATGGTATTATTTTTGTTTTGGCTTTCTCCAACCTGCTCTTACTGAACCAACTGTTTCCTCATGCAGTGAGGAGGAGGAGAATGTTGCTCCCTTCTACTATTTTTATTCAGGCTTCTGATGTATGCTACCTGTTTTTTATAGATAAGGGCTTGTCATAGTACAACAGACTTTACTTTTGGGTCACAGTTAAGCATTTCACAAATTTTCAGGTCTCAGAATCTCATTTTTACATAGGCCTTTAATTCTCACACTTCAGGCTTTTTTGAGTACATTTATACTACATAAATTCTAGGTCTAGAGGTTGTGTTTGGGGCTATCACAACTGTACATTGGAAATGCTCCTCATTATACATGTAAATCCTGGACTTTTTATCAGGCAGGTTAGGAAAATCACATACCAAATTTCTTCCCAGAAGGTCACAGAAAGGATGAATGGAATCTGTACAATTGCAAGGTATGTGCTGGTATTGAAATAAAATACCTTGAGAGGGTTGAAAATTCACTGAAGTATAGTACAGGTGAAATAAAATAACTTTTGAAAAACAGCAGAATAATCAAAGCTGCAGGAACAAAGAGCTGTGGGCCAAGAAATAAGAACAAGAGGACACTAAATCAAAATACAAAGGAAACGAAACTGTTGCTAAAGACGAAGAAGTCTGCTTGAGCTTAGTGCTTAGTCATTAACATAAAGTACCCACCTATAGGCTGTGATCACTCCTTATTCACAAAAACCCCTTCTTCACAGAGCATGCAGGGTAAAGTAAGCATACACTGTATCTTGAAATGGAGTTGAGAGAATGCTAAGGCAAGGACTCCAGCTTTAAGTTGTTACCTATAAGGGAAATGTCGGATTTTTATGGTTTGAAATGTATAAAAATGAGCACGTGGCATACTGAAAGTGTGCTAGCTTTGTGGATTTACCACCTAGCACCCATCTCTGTGCAGATATGAAAGGAGCAAATACCTCAACTCTGTGTGTGTGAACTGGCTTCTTGCACACCAGGTGGAAAAACCCATATTCAGGACAACACCAGGACCCAGGAATGAGAAAGTACTTTTGGGTGCCAAAGATTAGATATTGTCTGTAATTGTGCATACCTTATATTAGCAACCCTGAAAGTTATGTTCAAATGACTCTTTTACTTCTATCCATTTGGTTTCTATTCCATTCTAAAGGTCTGGTATCAGGCCAGGTTGTGTGTTTCATGTCGTAAGGATAGCATCCTACTGGCATAATCTTGTAGACAGTTCTGAAAAGCTGGGCGTCACTTGGAGGTTTGTGCAGTTTTGCATACTGACCTGTGTTTCTCATAATGCTGACCTCCTCCACCTCAGGGTTGGGGTCCCACCTTCCCAGAATCAGTCATTTCAGACTTCAAACACTCAAACCGAGATTGCTCTCGCTGTCACCAGACTTACAAACCTCTTAGCAGCTATACAAACTTACAAAACACTTTTTTTGCCCTACCATTCCATTTTCTGAATGAAGTACAGTTCCTAATAAGCAAATGTCACCAGAATATGGGTACAAAGACATGCCTACACTCCTTTGTTTTAACTTGGTTCTTATTGATATTTTAAATGCACTAGAAATTTCCAGTTCACTTTTGTTTCCCCTGTTAGCTTAATGTTTTTTAATTACTGTACTGTTGAATAATGCTTCTAAGGCCACAGTAACCACAGTAGCCACTAGGAGAAGACCAGTAGGCATCAGCAGTTGAAATCAGCAGCAAAATTAAACTTCAAAATGAGCAGTATCTGCCTGTTGTGCTGTTTAACCTGGTCAGCATCATGTTATTCTCCTGGCACTTCCTTTGTTTCTTATTAACTGCAACAAGATATCATGTAAATTTGTCCTCATGTTCTCTGAATTTATCCTCATTATAATTTTCACTGGAAGGAGCAATATTTATTTTGGAGCTTCAGAGCTGAAAGTCTCTCGTACTCACCTAAACCTTTGAATGTTCTGCTTAAAGTATTTGCCTCTGGTCTTCCCATTACTTTATTATATTGATTTATTAGCCTCTGTTAGACCTAATAAAGTAATTCTTTCATTTTTTGCTGTTACTTTTTCCCGTTTTTCCATTTTCATTTACTCCTCTTCCCTTATATCCCATTTACGTTTAACTTATGTAAAATATGTACACATAAGACTACAGTTGGATTAACAAACAAGAAAGTCTTATGGCAGGAACATCCCTATGTGCTGGTTACCAGAAGTTTTATTATATCTATGTTCGTACATCATATACTTATTACAGACAAACCAATGGCAGTGATTATAAATCTGGTGGTTGCTTGTGAGCACTGTTCAGCACTCACCAACACCATACATGCACTTCTGCTACGTTTCCTTTTGCCCCTTAGGAAGTCTTCCTGACCACTGGCAGAGTTATCTTTTGCTGTGTGAGACATTTCTCCCTACATGTTTCTGGACGTGACAGAAGCATCTCCTAAGAGGAAGGTCAGACTTTGTCCTGTTCGGTGCATAAACTAAACTGTGTGATGGGTTTCGGGGCTATGCACATAACCTTGTCCATGGCACATAGACATTCTTTTCATAAGCATGCTGGAAGCCCAGTCAACACATTACCTCTTCAGAAGTTCAGTTCCAAAAGTTTTGAACTTGCAACAATTTCCACTTAGCTGTTCAACATTTGCTGTAAAGCAACAATTTACATGTGGAGTTTACAGAGGTCTTGTCTTGAATCTGATGTTCTGATGCTACTTGCACACTATCTCAAATGCTTACTTTTGTTTCCTCAATATCTCACCAGAACTGCTCAGATGCCTCAAAAACACTGCAGTGGTTCTTCTTCCTTGTGTTAGTTTCTTCTCTTCTGTAGTTACAATCGTGGCATATTTGCAAATCCTTGCCATTTTCTTAGCATACCTCTAGTTCCTCACACAGTTTCTGTACATCTGCCTGCATCTCTAGCTCTCACATATGCATTGTATCTTCATCTCAATGTTTTTTTCACTGCAGACCTTGAGTTATGGAGTATTTTCCTCCAGTATGTAAAATTTCTGCAACCTCTCTGCCAAGGTGACTTGTGTTCTCTTTCATGGGGACTGTAAATCTTATTAAACCTTCCCCATGAGTAACTCCATCCCACTGTAACCAGTCTGCTAATTTGAGGCTACCTGGCCTGCAACTATACTAAGGTGCAGCCACATCTGACCAATTAAGACTCAAAAACTTCCACAAAGCTATCTAGAGCCCTGTATATCTCAGTGCAAAGCTACAATGAAGAACCAATGAGCACATAATAACAAGCTAATCTTTAGGTTTAATTTATTTGTGTTTCTGCCAGCACAAAATATAAAATCAAAATCAGAGAAAAACAGGAGTGGGTATAGAATTTGGCTTATCCCATGGTGGACAGATGAGGAGAGTGTGCAGGGGATATGAGGAGGGATCATAGGCCGAAAAAAGGAATGGATACAATGAAGCAGGGAGAATTACATGGTAAAGGAGCAGCATATTTTCACACTGAACTTTGAGTGCTTAAGTCCCTCACACATAGAACTTGGGAGATCAGGCACATGGCTTGACTGGAGTCACTCTGGACAGTGCAAGAAGATCTGAAATTGGCTGCAGAAAGTCTATGGAGAATCCTGTCTTTATTCCAATATTAATAAAGTGACATCTTTTGTTGCTCTTTTTTATTCCTTCTCTTTCCTTATTTATAGCACACACAACCCTCTTTCTCCAAATTTCACTCATCTAAAATCTGTGGCCACAGACATTCCCCAAAGCTATTGTAGCTCACTCTTCTCAAGCTTGCTGGTGGATAAAAGGTGTATCAGCTGCAGTAGCTTCTGGACTGGGCAAGCAGTTCTATGCTTGCTTGGTTTGAAGTGTGGTATTGAGAGTGTTTAAGCCCATGGCTGCCTCTTTTTTCCACCTCCGCTCTGAGAACAGAGCCAATGCCCTTTTGCTTACAGAAGAGAACACGGGCTACAGAGTACATACAATTTTCCAGACACAGATTTTATTAATTTCACTGCATTAACATGAAAACAGGAAGAGACTTAATTCCAAAAAGATAATGATTTAAAATAGAACACAGCAGTAGTAATATCACAGTTACAGTAGAGTTTGTATTACGCTGAACTAATTTATGCTTTAATATTGAAAAGGTGCTTTTGCTTTGTTTCAATAAGAAGTACAAAATAAAAGAAAATATTATTTCCAAGCAAGAAAGTTTACTGTGAGGGTAGATTTTGGTCTTTCATTTGGTCTTTCATTTATTCTATCTGTGGCTATAAACCACACAAGGTAGTGGCCAGGTAATAACAGCTGATGGGACCAGATAATAGCAGCTGATAGGATAAGAGCTAACAACTAATAGAAACGTGCCTAGACATTATAAGGCTATAGGGGGAAGAGTATCTACACCACCTAGATTAAGGCATGTGATACCTAAATTAAGAGGCTGGCATTTCCAGGTCCTTCTACAGCTGGACAGGTAATCTTCCTCTCAGACTATTTAAATCCTATGTCTGCTTCTGCCCCAGGCACTTCTTATTCTCTACTGAGTGCCTCACTGAGGCACCCTGAAGCGATTTGCTGTAATTTAGACATCTGCATCACATGCACAATGTTAAGTAGTGTGGAGTCCCCTCTGGTATCCTTACCTTGCTGGAAGTTGGTTGAACTTGATTTCCATAAGCAAGTCCTTACATGCATGAGCAGTGCCTTTTGAAATAAATGGGGAGAAAAAGGGAAGGACAGCTCACTTGCATAAGGAGTGCTCCCCTGCACTTCCATACAGTTTGAAGTAAGAAACTCTCTGCTACGCCCCTCCTTCCTCTCCGTTGTTAGCACCATGTCCCTAGAATAGCACTTTCTTTTACAGGGAAACTCCTAATAATTGAATAAGTGTATGGCCATAGGACAACACAGAGCATAAAGGTCTTGCGTCTTCAATCACCATGCAGTTCTGATTGAGGCACCAGTTGGCCAGAGGCACTCTTCTCCTGGGAAGACAGAGCAAGTATGACTCCTCTGGAGTTGGCTGCTTTTGCAGTTCCAAGTCTACTGTCTTCCTAAAAGTGTATCCCAAACATCAAACTTACTGTATGTGTGAAGAACATGTTTCTCTCATACAGAAACCTAACCTGACACACTTGTGTCGTGTGTTGCCACATAAACTCTTCTTCTACACACTTGATTTATCTATCCAGAACTAGGAAGGCCTCCTCTCAGTACTGTGTCATAGTCTCCAAAATCCTTCAGATGTTTTTTTCATACTGAATCTTGCATAGCAAATGCTGAGGTAATTTTCATTCTGGCCTCGTAGATCTTTGCTGAAGTGCTTTTATTGGTTAATTTTTTTTTTCTTGGAGGGATATGATTTGTCAGAAACAAGCTCATGTTTTTTAGGCTGGCATCATTGTCTTGTGCAGTTGGTGTGTGCAGTTACATGAAAAATTTCACCCACAAAAATCACAATGTTGCTGATTAACAGCCCACTTTGGAAAATGTCAGTAACAGAACAGTGATATGGCAGACATAAAATTAAAAAACTAAAATCAAAATACTATAACTTAGTCTGTAGTTGAGAGGATTATGTTCAAAAATGGCTACACTGTTGGCTAACTGATAGACCCTTGGGTTAAATGGTCCCAGTAAGATAAAGGTCAGTCAACTCTCCCATCAAAGGAGTGATATTATCTTGATATAACTCATATTAATCCTTAAATTCCTTTTTCTTTAAACATCTTTTATTCACATGGGGAAAATAAGGAGTAGGAGGGAAAAAGGAAGAAAACTAAAAGCCTCTCCTTATCAAATGCTTGACCATGTTACAGAAAGAATACAGACATTTCCAAGAGGTACTTCACTAATATTGAATAATAAACAGGTAGATCAATCCCCAAAGCTTCCTCCCAGTGTTTATCTTACAGTGTTCACATAACAGAAATGGATCTTGTGAGATGACCTATTACTCCTTACTCTTTGCAATATTGTATTTCTCCGGGGTAAATCTCACTGGATAGAATTTTTGTAAAGAAACAGAATCATACTATTCTGGGTACCATTCAAATCTTGATGTGCTACAGCTATGGTATTAATATTTCCTGGAGAACTCATTGATTCTCTTAGTTTAACAATGGAAAATGCTGTAATTCCAGGGAACAGTTAACCACAAGAATTGAGGGTCGTACAGTTTTCAGTAGTGATCGACATAAAGATCTTAAATAACATCAGGCAGTCCTTAAGGCAAAGCAAGTGGTGCAACATTTACTAACTAATGTTCTGATGTAATTTTACAGTCCAGTAGAGATGTCGTGCTCTGCAGTGGATGCTGTGAACGTGGAACTGACTCTTTCTAATTTTTCCTGATAAAGACTTGGACACTTTCTGCAAAGGTGAGCTGCAACGTGCTTTCGGAAAAAGGCGTGAAGATATTTCCTAAATTTTTCTCCAACAAATGCATAGATCACAGGATTGATACAGCAGTGGATCATTGATATTGTTTCTGTCACTTGAATTGCTTTCTCCAGTTGGCCTTTGATATCACAATTTGGAGTGAAAAGTGAACCTTGAAATGTATGCAAAAAAGAAGAAATATGGAATGGTGTCCAGAAGATGAAGTAAAAGATCATGATCACAAAAATAAGTCTGACTGCCTTCTGTTTTTTCTCACTCTTTGATCTCAATAATATTTTAAGAATTTGTGAGTAACTGAAGATCATAATGAGCATTGGAACAATAAGTCCCAGAATGTTCATCTTTAAAATAAAGGAGTACTTCCAATTTATTGTGGAATCACTTGGATAATGAGCACTGCAAGTATAACGTAAACCTTCCTTCTGAGTTTTGTGAAATACTATCCCAGGAACAGAAGCTAAAACAGCAACAGCCCAGGTGACGATGCTGGTGAGGGTGCCGTAGGCAACTGTCCTGGCCTTTAAAGCAAACACCGCGTGCACTATGGCCAGGTACCTGTCCAGGGTCAACAGGATTATGAAAAAGATACCACTGTAGAAGCCAAGGAGGTAGACACCTGAGAGAATTCGACACAGCGCCTCCCCAAAAATCCAGCTGTGAACTGCGTAATAGGCCCAAAAAGGGAGAGAAAATACAAACAGCAGATCGGAAATTGCCAAGTTGAGCAGGTAGATGTCAGTCATACTCTTCAACCTCTTATATTTTACCAGGATAAGGATAACAAGCATGTTGCCTGTCAGGCCAAATATCACTACTAAAGAATAAAGTGGTGGCAAAAGTTTTGCTGCCAAGTGCTTTTCTTCAGTTCCAGGACAAGGTGTTGAATCATCATAGTCAAATGGTGTTGTATATGGCAAGTCGGTGAAGTCTGTTGTATCACTTCCCATGGTGTTTTGGTCTGGAAAGGAAGACAAGGATGGTAAACCAGAGGAATCTCCAAGCTTGGCAGCGAGGAAAATGAAACGTTTTGATGTTCTCATTTGTAATGTGTTGCTGGTGAGGACACATACATTACTACGTTCAGTGTGAAAGGGAATGATATTGCAGATCTCCCAGGAAACCCATCTATACATCTGTGAAATCACATTGTTGCATGTTGGAAGTGTTGTGTGTCACTTCCCATATGTACACTGCCTGGTGCTTTTTTCCTTCTCAGTAGAGCCTGTCAGCTGCCTGACTCAACCAGAAGCAGAGGGAAGATGAATTGTGGGTAGTTTGGGGCTGTTGTGCTCACCAGTGGCTTTCCAATGGAGTGTAGAAAGCCAGGAAGGCAGCCACAGGAAAGCACAGTATCTGGTACACAGAGCATAGTTGTGCTTCTCCTTGGGACTTGGCCACCAGCTCACTGGGCCAGTCCATCCTGTACTCCTCACCCAAGGAGGACCAGGCACTGTCCAGGTGTAAATGGTGCCTGCAAAGGCACTGTGGCATGGGTGAAAAACAGCTGACACCAGTTTTTTAGGTTGCTTGTGACCTGGGAGCCTTAATGCCTATGGGAAACAGGACACTGGAAAATACTAAACATACCTGCTGTCCTGGGTGTTGCAGAGCGAGAACTCAGCAGCGTTGGTCTGAGTTAAAATGGCAAACACTGTGTCCTTTAGAGACCCTCTGCCAGGCGTAGGCAATGGCAGCGTGTTGGTTTCAGGTTGCTTTGGAATGAAAACAGTGCACAGTCCTGTAGAGAGAACGGAGAGACAAACACATTGGCAAATGGCACAAAAGATGAGAGTTGCTGTCAGGATGGCCTCTGACACCTGTGTCTGTTGTGGCATCTTACTGTCAGTTGAAAGACCTCCCCAGTGCTGCTTGGGGATGTAAGGAGTTTTAATTCCTTGTTTCAGTAGCTGTTTACAGGCATGATTCAGGAGCTGCAAAGTTAAGACTTGGCTGAGTGTCTGAGAGGAAGCACAAAGGCGAAAGGCAGATATGAACATTGCTATCTGTGTGCACTACAGTTCTTCATGTGATGTTGTTCTTCACCCTTTGTTATTCAGTGTTTCCAGTGAGGCGGCACTGAGGAAGTGCAACCTCTCTGTCCCTTCAGTTTTGGTTTGGGAACTGTTGTAGAGACTGAACTTCCCGTGCAAGAAGGAGCCAGGGCCTGGGAGGTGAGTGTGCAGCAAAGCTGTGAAAGCCCCCAGGCCAGTTCTGTTACAGTGGGAGGCCCTCCAGTCACCAAAGTCTTCCCCTTTCCCGAGTCCCAAGTAGGACTGTGAGCCAGGTGCAGAAGAATAGCTATCTTTGTGTAACTTGGTCTCTGAAAAGTTGAGGAGAACAGTCTTCTCACAGACCTCTGGAGAACATGGAAGAATTCCCGTGTGTCCCATGAGAAGCTGGGAAGAGGATTTTGTGAAGATGAGTGTCAGAGTGGCCAAATGTGCTCCCTGGTCACTTAGTGGGGAAGTGAAATCAATGCCTTTGGTAGCCACTCAAATAGAACTACTTGCTGTCTGATTGAAGAACTGCTCGCTCTTGCTGTGCCATCATGACTGCTTTTCTCAGGCACTTCATGGCAGAGTGGTGACTGCCCATGGCAGGCTGATGGTTTTGAAATGAGCACCTTCCTGTCAATTTGATGCCAGTTCTTAGACAAAGGCAACAGACTGCTCCTGACACAGAAGACCAGGCAGGGCCTCTGCCCCAGCTTGCTGTGTGATCTCTGACCGCTCATGTCCCACAGCAGTGTTTGCTCCTTTCCTGAATGCACTTTTTTCAATGGTGTGGTCTACCCTGTGTGATTGCAGATGTCTTTTGCAGACACCACACTCTCAAAACCACGACTTCATTCTCTCTGCACCCAAGTTCTGCAAGACTAAATGTAACTGAAGAAACTCAGCCCGTGGTTGGAGTGACACAGAGACAGGCCTCTGGTCTGCTTTTTGGTAGATAGTCAATTCAATTACATGGTGGGCCATTCTGAGCTGTAGCATGTGAAATTTCTAAAGTGTCTTACGCTCATGTCGGCCTACTCAGCAGTTTGAGCAAAAGCTTATTTCCTGATATGTAATTACAGACATTCAGGATCCAGAGGACTTAGTTTTGATCTGGATTTTTGTCTCAGTGGATATATATAATGCAAATGATCTTCTTGAATAAATTTTTTTGGTTACACAGAGTTAAAACAATTTTCTCTGTGTGCATGTGCACAAGTAAACATTCACATATATACACTCATATATATAGAATTGTAATATTGTAGAATCATAGAATAATTTAGATTAGAAAAGACTTCTAATATCATTGAGTCCAACCATTAACATGACAGTACCAAGTCCACCATGTACCTAAGCACCACATCTACACACCTTTTAAATATCTCCAAGGATGGTGACTCAACTGTTTCCCTGGGCAGCCTGTTCCAATGCTTGATATCCCTTTCACTGAAGAAATCTTTCCTAGCATTTGATATAAATCTCCCCTTGTTGAATCTTTGTATTTATATACAAAGAAAATAATTAATTTTTTTCTTTTTAGTTTGGAACTTATTCTGAGTTGTAACACCAGCAGAAAATAATTGTGGAAGCAGCAGAACTAAAGTTAACTGATTCCCTAAAGATTTGTCTCCTTTGCTGTCCAAGTCTTAAGTCCTGTGAGGGGTTGATCGCGGCCGGCAGCTAAGCCCATATCGAGTCACCCACCCACATCCCCTGACAGCAGGATGGGGGAAAGAATCAGAAGTGTTGAAGCAAGATAAACTTGCAGGCTAAGATAAAGACAGTTGAATAAGAAAATGAAACTGAAAAAGACCACAAGAGATGAGACAACGACAAATGCTTGTCACCTGCTAACAAGCAGATGGATGGCCAGCCAGTCTCTGAGCAATGCCTACTTTGGAAAAACTTCCCCTTGTTTTTTGCTGAGTATGATCCTTTTGGTCAGTTTGGGTCACTTGTTCTAGCTGTGGTCGCAAGTCTAAAAGGCATCACCATAAGAGCTGCTGTGAAGAAAAGTAAGTCCATCCCAACCAGAGCAAGTTCACCTCTCCACTACCAAAACTGAGCTCCTGTGCTATACAATTCCCACTGATGCTGGCTAGAAAGACAGCATGTACTGTGACTGTTTTGTTTACTGTCACTGACCTGTTGGGAAAACTCTGAGCATTTGCATGGGTGAGAAGCCAGATACTCCTCTTCACGACAAGCACAAAATATTAAAAATATTTTCTGAAATGATTTATAAAAAATTCCTTCTCCTTCGCATGCAGGCAATGTTAATCACAAAGAACTCTAGAAAACTGACCTGGCTAAAAAATTCTTCTGGAAATTACTTGTTTGCATTTGACCTGATGATCTCGGAGGTCTTTTCCAGCCTGGTTGATTTTATGGTTCTATGGTTCTATGACTTTTTTTTTTAATTTATCTTTAATCATTTTTCCAATTTTCATTTTCATGCAGAAAGGAACATCTTCTGCAGAAGCTGTAGCCCTTGAAAAGAAGTCTGGTTTTAACTCTTAAATTATTTAGGCACAAGCCTTCAAAGATTAGTGTGTTACAACAAAGAAATTTCCAGGTTTATCTCAACCCTTGTGCTTTTTAAACATAATCTTCTGAAACATTCTGATTTGGGAACTTTTGATTATTTCATTTATTTCTCTCTTTTTTTTCATTCCAAAATTACAAATGAATATCCAGAAAGTCTTAATTATTTTAATTTGAGGGGCTTTTGCATTTTCTGGACTGCGTGTGGGCATCAGTGCCCACTGTCTTGCCCACAATCCCACAGTTTCTGCATGCACAGGGTAGTTTTATTGCTAACACAAATTCTGAATGATTTTTGCAAAATTGGGCAACAATGTCAAGCCTAATGTAGCAATCAATATAAGATTCTCCTTTGTGCCCTCCTTCCTTTCTAATTTATTCTGTGTTCTAAGCATGCAAAAGCATCTACATACATGAGCAGTCCAATAAGAGGCTACTGTTGTTTCACCTTTGAGGACTGGTTATGTTCAGAGTTGCCAAAGAAGCTGGATACAGAGAGGTGTGACCAAGCCATGGGCCAAATGCCTGCACCCTGGAAAAGAGTTCTTGCAGAGAAAATGGGGCTACATCTTGGATGGGAGAAAATTTGGTCTGCTTAATAATTGAAGCTTTGTGGTCCCAAATAAACATAATTTCATTTCTTTAAGTTTTAACAAAACTGCACTCGTGGCAGCATCACAGATTCCTGTAACGAAAATGTAGCTCTGAATCATGTCTTTTCTGTATTTTGGGTGCTTTGAGAGAAGCCTTGCTAGCTCTTGAGCATTAGTTGCTATCTATACTGTGTCACCTTTAGCTGTAAAATGCCTGGGTGCCAGTATGACTATCAGACATTTCCATGTAATTCAAGCAGAAAGGCTCCTGAGTTGCTACAGTGACTTACTCAGGTATGACAGTTGTCACAGCTCAATGAGTCTGCAGTACCCTAAAGGGGATTTGGGCAAAGTTTCCTTACAGAAATCAGAGTAAATAATAACTAGTTAGAAGAGCACCTGTGCATTAATGGAGCCACTTAGCTCAAAATTTAATGACCCCAAAAGTTCCCTTTCCCTTGTTACAGTCTAAGACAAGATTTCTCTTTTGAAATGCATGAGTAGGTAACACAGTGCTACTGCTCCTGCCCTCACTCTCCTCCTTTTACAAATGACAGTACTTGTCATACAGAAAAAGAAACTGCTTAATGACTTCTAGTCAGCTTAAAAGTGTGTCAGCAGCTTCTAGGGCATTTTATAGAGAGATGTATAATGTAGCACAGAGTAAAACTGATACTCAAATAACAAAAAATAATACCCCATATTCTGATAGCAGGTGTTGCAAGAGGAGTAGCCAGTGTTTCCCACTAATAGTTCTATCTCTTTAACTTTGACTTTCCAGGAGGAGAAAAACTACAGAGAAAACTCTGCGCAGACACCTGCACTTTCTTGGAGAGCAAGCATAGATGTAGGAACATTTCTTGTTACCAAAAAAGATGAAGAAAAAGATGAAAGTGTAAACTAAATGCTCCATGTAAGTCTCTGAACTGATAGTTTCCTTCAAACACATCTTTTCATGTGGTAGTTGCCACAGTCTTTCTTTCTATGATTTGACTAGGGAAAGAGCCCTTTCCTTGCTTGGAAAACCTCACCTGGAAAACCTCTTCCTCTTTTATAACAGCTGAGCATTAGAAACATTAAGAATTGCTTGCCTCCTAACTGGTGAGGTTTTTTCAACCTTGTAGAACTTTCAAGGAAAAATGTCTTCTGGGCTGGAAAAAACAGGCTTAATTCTCTGTGAGCCCTCAAGATCCTATTCTTTCCATTCCCCATCAAAAACAGAGAGACAGTCCTGCAAAAATTCTGAGCTTTTCTGAAGTTAAATAGAGTGAGTCTATGTGGTCCCAAGAAAAGAGAAGTAGGAATATATTCTTACCCAAACAAATGCACAGTAAAAGAATAGTGTAAGTACTGAAAATAAGCATTCTGAGAATGAGAAACTCGAGACAGATATTAAATGTCTTCCTCCTAATCATGAATACATGTATAAGTGTGCTCTTCTCTTGTGTAGGCTAAGTTCTGGGCTAGTATGTCTGTTGAGGGGTTTTTGTTGTGCTTTGGATTTTTGAGGGTTTTTTTTCAGTGTCTTTGCTTACAGTGCCTCAGATAAAACATTGAATTCAGAGTAA